CTTTGAAACAGCCTTTAACATCTCGAACTACACTTCTGGATGTCTTTACGAAGCTTTCGAGTAATTTTTATTAAAATTAAGGTGCCCCATAGAATTTATGTAGTACTTTTATCCATTTGTATACTTTATGAATTTATCGTGTTTTTACCTACAGAGGTATGTGCCGTCTCTCGTGTTTCTAAGAAGGAGATTGGCAAGGTTTTCAAAAAGATATTGAAAATCCTAGAAACCAACGTGCAATCAGTCTCGGTGGAGGATTTCATGTCTAGATTCTGTGGCAACTTGAATCTAAATATTGTAGTGCAGCGCGTCGCAAATACCCTGGCGAGGCGAGCACTCAATCTCAATCTGGTTTCAGGTCGAAGTCCAGTATCGGTTGCTGCAGCTGCCATCTATATGGCCGCTATAGCACTCGGCTTCCGCAAAGATAAACGAGGTGAGTTTAGAAAAAAAATATCCATAAAATCGTTATCCGATATGACTATTTCTAATTTAGCTGCACTCATTTAAAGTTAGGAACACCAGAATTGATATATATTAATGCATTATCGAGGCCATAGAAACTTTAGGCGAGCAATTTGCTAAGGTTGAAAAGGCTTTCAATTACTTTCGCTTACATTTCTTTAAAAAATGCGTTATTTACAGGGTGATATTTCGCACTATGCTATGAATAAATTCGTCGCTCACGTAAATCATTTGCTTAAATTTGAAATCTGATCAGAATAGAATTAAAAGTAATTTGAACGTTATCCATGTCACTATTAACTACTATATGATAATCGAAGGTATGAAGATCAAGATGGTTTGACCTTTTGTATGATTCTTCCGTTGTATAGAAGTGGTTTGACCTTGTTTTCACAAATTGGTTATATTGGTAGGAAGACCTAGAGGAACGCACCTAGTTGGAAGTCCATAGTATCCATGATAATTTCCAGAGTCGGACCTTGGACGTGGTACATTCGCAGACGTTTCGCTGGCATCGTCAGTGAGCTTTGCGAAGCAAGAGGGAGACTGATAAGACCTATGCGAAAAGGGTTGCGGTGTGAGAGGGTGGGAAATCCAGTTTGGGGTTTAATGAGTTCTCATGAAATCCGCTAAAAAGTTCGAACTATGCCACGTTAAAATAGGAAATTGTGATAGTGAAGTAGTGATGCGAGGATACAGCATTGGTGAATACCCAAAGGCAAAAGGAGAGACCACAATTGTTTAGTCGACAATTTATCGAAGGAAAATAATAGGCTTTACTCGTCTATGATGGGTTATAGTGTGGTGCTCAGAATAGCAAAGCTCACCGACGATGCTGGCGAAACGTCTAAGAATGTATCACATCCACAGTCCGACTGGACATTATCGTGCATTCTATGTACTCCGGACTAGGTGCGCTTCTTTAGGTCTTCCTACCAATATGACCAAGTTGCGGAACCAAGGTCAAATTACTTCTATACTATATGATAATTTAGTCGTATCACTAGTATGTCTTAGTCTTATTTCGATTAATAATACACTTCTAAATACGGAATACTTGGGTCTTTAAATATCTGTATTTATTTAAGGTTTATTATAATTCCAAATCACCTGGGGGATTATCGATTCGCTTTATTAATGAATTTCACTACTATTTCGCATCATATCCTTGACCTTAACTGTTTCAAAATTTATTTGCTAAGATTTCTGAGCATTTTTTGGCTATTAGACCAGCTTGTTATGATATTTCCTGGCTTCGTGAGCTGTTTACTTCCTGTATGCTTTGTATGACATTCTCTATTGTGAACATCATTGGTTGAATAAGTAGAATTTGTTCTTCTGAAC